TAACAAGTGCAGAGGACACTAACACAAAAAAAATTGGAAACCACACAGCTGAAAGCAATGAATCAACGGCTTCTGAAATAAAGGAACAGCTGCAGAAAGATATAGACGACTTCAGATTGGAAATGAAAAAAGAAATCTCTGAATTACTAACAACTGCACTAAAGAATCAAATGCAGAAACATATGGAAGAAACCCAGTGCCCACCCAGAACAAGTGCGGAGGACACTACCATGGCTAAACGCATGAATTAATACCATCGATAGCAAATAAGCCAGACTACAAAGATATAGAGGAAATCAGAGCGCAATTCCTTTCTGAAATAAAAAAGAACACTCAGAACTCATAGCAGATGAAGTAAAGAAGCAACTACAGAAACATAGGCAGGAAATCCAATCTGAAATAAATGCTGCAGTAAAAGAATTTCTAACTGTTTCTAAAGAAGATATTGAAAAAAAAAATAGAGGAGATTAGAAAAATGACGGATTCCCTGAATGAGCAATACAGGAAAGAACAGAGTCAAAGAGATATAGAAGAAATTAAACTCTCAATCACAAGCTTGCAAAACCGTTTAAGTGAATGTGAAGACAGAGTTTCAGATCTTGAAAAGAATGGTGCAGCTAGAGTAAAGGTAAGAAAGGATCTCTTAAAAACAACGAGGATGCAGGAAAGAATAATCCATCACCTGAAAGATGATGCAAAGATAAACAATGTGAGACTACGAGGCATCAATGAAACAAAAAGGAGTCAACACAAATGACATTAAAAAATATGGGCAGTAGTAATAGTAGAAAACTTCCCAAATATGAAGAAACAAACTTACATTTAGGTAACTGAAGCATACAGAACATCAAGGAACCACAATGCAATAAAAAACATACTGAGAAATATAACAGTAAAGATGCCAGAAATTCAGCACAAGAATAATCTACTGAAAGCTGATAGAGAAAAGAAGCAGATCACATTCAATGAAAATTCAAGCACAACATATCGTAATTTATGAGATAAGATGAAAGCTGTTCTCAGAGGGAAATTTATAGCTGTGAACTCACACGTTAGGAAAACAGAAAGGGAACAAGTAAACACGCTAATGCTGCACCTTCAACAACTGGAAAAGGATGATCAAACCAAACACAAACCCCAAAGACGGGAGGAAATCATAAAGCTAAGAGCAGAAATTAATTCAATTGAGACGAAAAAAAAACATTTCAAAAAATTAAAATACCAAAAAGCTGGTTCTTTGAAAGATTAAATAAAATTGGTAAGCCCCTAGCTAAGCTCATCAAACAGAGGAAAGAAAAAATTCAAATACAAGCAATAAGGAATGAAAAAGGTGTAATTACCACAGACTCAGTGGAAATTCAGATGATTATCAATAGCTACTTTGAAAATCTTTACTCTCACAGAATAGAAGACACAGAAGAAATGGACAGATTCCTAGAAAGGCAAAAATTCCAAAACTGAATCGACAAGATATAACTACTCTCAATAACCCAATAACAGCCAAAGAACTGCGAGACATAATGAAACACCTACCGGCTAAGAAAAGTCCAGGTCCAGATGGATTCACAGCTGAATTCTACAAGACATTTACAGAAGAGGTAGTCGCTATATTCCTCAAACTCTTCCAAGAAATTGAAAAGGAAGTAATCCTCCCAAAATCATTGCTGGAGGCAAGTATTATACTAAAACCAAAACCAAGGAAAGATGCAACTAAGAAAGAGAACTACAGGCCTATCTCCCTCATGAACACAGAGGCCAAAATCCTCAACAAAATACTTAGCAAATAGAATACAGCAAATCATCAAGAAGATCATACACCCTGACCAGGTAGGATTCATCCCAGGGATGCAAGGATGGTTCAATATTCGAAAATCTATCAATGTAATACACTATATCAATAGACTGAAAACTAAAAGCCACATGATCATCTCCATTGTTGCAGAAAAGGCTTTTAACAAAGTCCAACATTCATTCATGTTCAAAGTCCTACAGAAAATTGGAATAGATGGCCTCTACTTCAATCTTGTAAAAGCCATTTATGAAAAGCCAATAGCTGACATAATCCTAAATGGGGAAAAACTGAAATCTTTTACTCTTAGATCGGGTACAAGACAAGGATTTCCTCAATCACCACTGCTATTCAATATAGTTCTGCAATCATTACCTACAGCCATTAGACAAGAGAAAGAAATAAAAGGAATAAGAATACGCAAAGAAGAATTTAAATTATCTTTATTTGCAGATGATATGATACTTTACTTGGAAGACCAAAAAGACTCCACCAAGAAGCTACTAGAATTGATACAGAAATTCAGTAGCATAGCAGGTTATAAAGTCAATACCCAAAAGTCAATAGCATTCCTCCACACAGACAACAAACACACTGAGAGGGAAATTATAGAAACAATACCTTTTACAATAGCACCCAGGAAAAGGAAATACCTTGGAAATAACCTAACTAAAGAAGTCAAAGAACTTTTCAAGAAAAATTACACTTCTCTTTAAAAAACGATCATAGAGGATTTCACAAAATGGAAAGATATCCCATGATCCAGGATAGCAAGAACCAAAATTGTAGTCCCAGCCCAGGTGCAGCGTGGGCCGGATCCTCTCCCACCCCCGTTTGGCAGTTGACACAATTTTGTAGGTAATGGGTTTGTACTGTAGAAAATAAGAGCAAACTTTATGGTTGTACAGCTAAGCAGATATTAAATTCAGGATTTGTATTCAAGTTAGTTCCCCAAAGTTCTGTCTAATCATCTCCTCTCGATGCACCTGGGGTCTTCCAGTCAAACTGATTCACCTAGTTACCTTTTGACCCCTGTGTAGGTCAAGAGTAAAAATGAGAGGACACTCTCATAGATCTGGGTGCAGCAAATTGTCTCCGTTTACAAGGTCTGGATCTATCAATTCGAACTTGTCCAAATTTGCCTGGCTTTGGTCTGGCTGCTGTGCTCAGCTTCTTCCTGCTGCAGCTCATAGAGGTGAACTCAGAGTGCCACTCTGGCAAGATGTTCAGATCCTGGATTAGCTGGGTGTGTCTGGCTCCTAGCCTCTTTGCTGAACATTCTCCTGAGAGTTTCCCCTATGATCTGGCACAGTTCCTGGAGTCTGGCTGGTGAGGGTCTTGGTTGTGGCAAATGGGCAGAAGTTCCCACACACACGCTGGGCCTGGGGTCTGGCTTGGGTGTAGTCTAGGGCTTGGAGAGCAGGCAGAATTTCCCACACTCATGCCAGGCCTGGGGTCTGGCTGGGGTGGCATCTTGGGCATGGCGAGCTGGCATAAGCTGTCCCACACACACATCTGGCCTAGGGTCTGGCTGGGAAAAACTGTCGATTGTCAAAGAGTGTGTTGCTTAATTTCCATGTATTTCTGCCATTTTTTGGTTTATTTTTTCATTTATTGAGTTTCTTTGCACTGTGGTCAAGTAATATGCGTGGGGTAATTTCTGTTTTCTTGTATATATTTAAGCATGACCTATGGACTAGTATGTGGTCAACTTTGGAAAATATCCCATGTACAGGTGAAAAAAATGTATATCCAGATTTGGTTTGGTGAAACACTCTGTATATGTCCGCTAAGTCTATTTGTTCCAAGTTCTGGTTCAGTTCTGTTACTTTTTTTCAATTTTTTGTCTGCTTGATCAATCTTTTTGGGAAATGGGGGTATT